GGGGGGGGGGGGCACTGCACTGAGAGCAGAGTAGGGAGCAAGTGCCACCGTGCCAGCCAAGATGGCTTATTTGCAAATCATCAGCATGTAAGCCCCTTCTCCTTGTATATGAAGTGTCTTACATGTGTCATTTTCAAAATAGTAAATACTCAATCTACTGCAGGAAAAAGCAATCCCCAAGTCCTAACTTTTATTTATAGCCTTTCATAAAGGCAGTACAGAATCCCAGAGCTTGTAACGTATATTTAAATTTTATGTAAGATCTCCGCGCGCCCCCGCCCCCCGCTAAAGTTTACATTTTTACTTGTAATTACCTTCTAAGCAAAGCATTAAGAATATAAAAGATTTAGGGGGGTGGTCTATGTATATATTTTATACACTAAGGCTCAGTCAGTAGTTGCAGAATAATTATGCCCATAAAGTTTTATAATTAAGTTATCATCAATTTAAAAAATGTAAAAACTTTGCAACTGTTTGCTTAGAAAGAAAATTCTTTCGCCTTTTCCACTGGTATCTGTGACAACAAAGGATTGTTCGTATTTCCAGGCTATAAAATGGAATGTTCTAGGCTACACTCTGATTTGCATGCACAGAACAAGCTTTAAGTAACGCAAGCAGAGTGACTTGACATGCTTTTAAGACACCTACCCCTTTCCTGCCTCAACACCAGGAAGCCACAAGGCACTGTGACAAGAGAAAAACCAAGTAGATGCTACTGCTGTATGAGGAGGCTTCAACAAGTGCACAGAAACATGGAATGAAAAGATAATGGAATTTTTCCATGTACTTTTCTGACACAACCCTTGGATACTTCCTGAGCTGCACAGAAACTGTAAGGAGGTTCCATTGGAAATATTTTTCTTTTTCATTTTCTAGCTTAACAAGAGTTGCAAGCGGGCACCTTGTGCTGGCAGTTGTTCGCCTCTTCAAAAACAAAAACTGGGTAGCTTACTGTGGAAAGTGTGAAAGCCATACTTCAATTCAATATACTCTGGTCCCCTGAAAGGCAGTGGGACAGGAGGAAACAAAAGAGTTGGGGGGGATGAGAGCCACCAAAGGAAAAGAGGAAGACAGGGCAACAGAGAGGCTGTGAAGGCTGTGGGACGAGGACAAGTGGACAGCGAGGGCTGGCCGGGGGTCAGCCTCCTGTTCAGAAGCCGAGTGTACTGCCCAGGGAAGCTATATAGCCAAGAGGAAGCTATACTGCCAAGAGAATGCTCTTAAGACATTTGGATTGTGCTACTCTGTTAAGCCTTTATTCACCCAAATTTAAGCACTTTCATGAGGCCTGCTGGGTCAAGTCGAGCAGATCAATGAAGTATTGCTTCTATCCTGGGAAATGGAAGTCAGGGGCTAGACCTGGTCCTGGAACTACCTGCACCCCATGATCCCAACTGCCATCCATGTGCTCCTTGATATAAATGCTTGAAGTTTTAAGAAAGGCCACTGGGAAAATCCTTTTACCACTGACCAATAAACGGGCTTTGTCTTCGTGACGGCAGAGCTTGTCCCAAAGGCAGTGCATTTGATTTTTAAGTTTTCTCCCTCAGACGCTGGGTTGCCAGCACTGCAGAACTACACTTAACAAGGGCACGACAACCGCCTCCCGCCTTCCAATCCCAACGAAGTGGAAGCATGAAGGCAAGCTGAAGAGTCCTCAGAAGAGGGTGCAGAGGCAACCGTACCAAACCTTCCAAGAAGGAAAAGGAAGCAGCCAGTAAAGTCTCACACGGCAGCCACTGTCGGTATCATCCCTTCCGGGGGATCAGGTGGCGGCAGTTAAAGCTCAGGTGTGATGAGGAAGGATCTCTTAGCTACTTACCAGGGCATGGACTCCAAAACTAGTAACACAGACAGTAAGATGGTGAGGAGAACCAGCCGAGACCTCCACTGAGTACACCAGACAATCAAGTTATGACATTGTCTTTTAACAGATACAGTCACATACACAGTGTCCCTTCAAGAGACAGCCATACAGCACGACTCCTTTTTAAAGAGCGTCTATATTAAAGGATTACATTTGTTAACATTTCCTAGCACCAAGTAAAAGAGTAAATCAAATGCAGACACCTTATTGGCAGCAGCTTATTTTTGGATACCAAGTCATGGCACAATTAGTGAAAAACTCAGGTCAAAGTGTTTGTAAAATGCTTTCTTAAAGCTGTTCTTAAGGAAAATCATATATCGACTCATTTCAAGTAATTGAAATTTTAGTCCGGGCAGAACACCTCTATAATGCACAGCATGTCTCACACAGCAACCATGTTAACTGAGGGTGTTTCTGCGTGGCCGGACCCTTCTCCTCCAAGTGCCACAGTCCATGACTGGCCTTGTCTAGGCACTGCCTACAGACACGAGAAAACACACCTGACAAGCTCATTTCCCGAAGAAAGTCCTACTGGCATGTGCACCTGTACCTGTACCTGGGAGCAACCAGGATGCTCTCCCAAGCAGGGGGAGTCCTGTTGCCTGGCCCTCTGGTGGCCATCGGTCAGGTCAGTTAGCTGGCCTATGGGAGCAGACACCCCCGAGGGTGTCTGCTACCTGGGTTCTTGAAGCCTCGGTTCATACAAAGACTGATGTTTGAAAACGGTTCTCTTGTGGTATATTTCATCAACCCCCACCTATACAAAATCCTGGTCAAGGGAATTTTCTTCTTACCAAGGCACTTTGATGAAATGAACAAAACCACTACAAAGCTTATGACTTGGTATTAATTTTTTCCCTCTTTAATAAAAAAAATGAGCTGCTCAGGCCGTCTCTCTAAAAGAGAATATTAGGCATTTTCAAGAGTCATGTTTGCTTGGTATGCAAAAATTATTTTCTGAAATGTGAATTTTTAAAACAAACTCCAGCTTTCTTCGGCTGGGTTTTATTTCCTTTTTTAAAAACTCAGAATTACTTAGAGAGATAAATATATATTGTTTGTAACGAATTTGTCTGGCACAGGAAAATACTATTCAACAAGTCTATTCCCTTAACACGTGTTCTTTAAAAAGTGTTTTACTGCAGAACGAAAATTAGTATAAAAACCCCAACTCACTGGCAAAGTAGAAAGAAGGGCTTGTCTCCTTGGTGTATGGTGATTTGGGACATGCTGAATTTGGGAAATAGAAAGGTGAATTAGCCTTTTGAGTTGTGCATTTTCCTAATTCTCTGGAAGAGGCTGACATATTAGACAAGTTCTCTGTATTCATGCACAGGTTCACTTTACTTTAAGAGCGATAACAACTCTCTTTAACCCCAGGAGGGTGCTGGGCAGTGCTGGGAGACACTCTGCCTTTGGTCCTGGGTGTCAAGTTCCAAAAGTGGACTTGCTGGGTGAAAGGAGAAACATCCTTATCTGGGAGAAGACCAACATGGCATAATGCCATCCAATGGCTCATACATATGCAACACCCCTGAGGCAGGCAGCAGCTGCCAGGGCCAATTCCAATGACTCAAGACAACACTACTTTTGCAACACATTATTAATAGAAGTGCTGTTCCGAAAGATGTGCGTCGTCGATGAACCCAAGAGCTATAGAAACATAACTATATTAAACATGATCATTTCTCATTAAGGTAAGGCTACAAAAAGTGCATACATGTGTTTAAGCACATCTGGAAGGATAAGCAGCAAAAGGTTAGCAGGAGGCAGGATAATAGGAACTTTGTACTTTTTTTGGCAGGCTGTATTTTATAAGTGATCTGCATTAAACTACCCCCCAAAAAAAACCACACAAAGGTTCTAGCTCATGTTGCTCCTCACAGTTCGGGTTAGTAGAAAGAACTTTGTTACTATAATTTTTAAATGGAGGATCCAGCACGCTACTAACAGCAACATGAGAGGAGACCAGATATTTGGGGATCAAAAATCAAAGTAACTTCTTGGAAAGGAGGGGGCAGCAGCAAGGATGAAGGCTTGATGAAGGTTAATGAGATGAAGCGTGTGACCAAACTGGATAAAAGGACAAAAGGCCAATAACCTTTGAAATACCCATCTCCAACTCTAGTAACTGAACTGTGCAGCAGTCGGTTACCATGTTTATGCTAACACCAATAAATTTTTTTAATGATAATGAATCTTTCACTTCGCAGTCACCACTATACTCCAAACCATCTGGGGTGGCCATAGCAGATGCATGTCAAAAGAGGTGACATAAAGCTGTCACTAACATCAGCTGTATATTCTTCTGGCCATATAAAATGCTTTAAAGAATATAGACAGGGTATCAAATCATAAACATAATTCATATTCAGGGTGTTTGGCTGCTTTGAGAAAGTCATGATAAACTATCCAAGGGGGGTGAGTGTATGGTGACCATTTCCACACAATGGATCTTGTCGTAATTTAAAAGAACACACTTACAAACTTGTCTGTGTTGGGTATAATTAGGCTTTCCATTAAATTATTGATGAGTCAGTGGAGAGCATGTGTTAGACGGTAAGGAACAAGACCATCACTCCCTCATGTCGGGTTTGGTTTGGGTGAAGTGTCCAAAGGGAGAGAGAACCTCGGGAGCCAGGCTGGCCGCTGGGTCAGTGGCAGGAGAGCGCGCCGGGATAAATCTACTGCACACTGGTTTTGTTTGTAGTATTCTCTCTTTATCCACATTCCAATGGACTTCAGGGTCCAAGGCCAAGTGCCTTCTAAATTGCACTGCTTTGAGAAGGTGGTTATAAAAACTACTAGTGCTTCAAATACCCTTGTTACTGCACAGAGTGCTTTCAAATCAATGACTATCCATCCCAAACACAAAGCCAGGCATTGGCAGTGAGTGAGCACAGGGAGGAGTCAGCGTAACATCTCAATATTCACCATCCTGTCCCCGAGGCGCAGTTATGCTCTGAAAGCAGTGGAAATTTTAGCTCAAAAGGTTCAGATCTTATTTCAAGGTATGCCAGAAAATGGGAGGGAGAAAGTACACGTGTTTCCCAACTGTTAGATCATGATGTGCTCAACAGGAGGCTTAAACACTCATAGTGGACTTTTCACCGAGGCCATACGGCACAGTGGAAAGTTGCTGGAATATCCACAAGGGGCACACACGCCAGCTTCATGAGTCCGTGAGGTCCTGCCAAACGCACTTGAGCTCTGGCTCAGTGCCAATGAGAGGTGAGCTTTACCAAGGCTATGAACCTGCCAGGCAGCTTATTTTATGACTGAATTACAAATTACAAGAAATGTATTCCAAAATGTAGCAATTAAACCATTTTTCATTTGAAATATATAATCTACAACGCAGCGTTTTTTTAAAAGGAATAATGTGGAAAATTAAGATTAGACTTGTAAGCACTTATTAAAACACCGCCTTTAGTCATGTAAAATTACCTACCATCAGCGGCCTGCGGAACGGGGGTGTACCTCCGGGAAGAAAGCAGAGCTGGGTTAAGGGTGACACAACAAATGGGGTCCTTGCTGCTGCCCGAGGGCTCCTCCGATCACCCACCCAGATCTATGGGGCCACTGGTCAACCAATGGGTGAGGAAGAAATTAAATTGTCTAACTAAATCTATTCAAGTTATCTAAACTAAAAAACAGCAACATCAAAAAACATAAGACAAAAACTTCTCATTCTTAAGTCACTCAAAAAGTTAAACAAGGTTTGAAGGACACAATGTCCACTTTGTTGTTTTAACTCTACGTTTACCATGGCACACGTAACTAAGTGAATAAACTTACATTTCACATCTTTGCTCAACAGAAAAAAACCTCTAATGCTAATGTTTAGGTAGACCTACAATGACATTACAGGACTCAGCAAGACAGACAACTTAATGAAATGGGGACTAAATAGAGAGGCAGTCTTAAAAAAAACAAAAAACCTAGAATACAGACCACTCATCATCAACTCTATATTCCAGGATAGGCGGGGAAGCCAGATCTTTCAGCACCTTGGATGGCTTCTAAAATGACCTGCACAAAGTTCCCCATTTGGCCACAAAATTAAGTTGGTTTTTTTGGAGGGGTGGGGGGTTGGTGGCAAGGGGACTTAGGGGGAAAGATTGACTATTTTTATATAGGATATCTGATTTCATTTCACCATCCTGTGTAACTGGGTTACATTGAAAGTTATACCTCATTTAGGTTCTATTCAGACTAACACTGGGCTGTTTTGAAGGCCGGCATGAGGCGGGCAGGCAGGAGCACTGTAATGAATGGCAATAAAAGGCTGGAAGGCCAGGGAACCTGCCCTGAGAGTGAAACACAGTGCCCTCACTCATGCTGAGGCTCGTGCATGGCAGTTCTTCCCTGCATGCCTTTGGCCGACTATAGCCCTTTCTCCCACAAGGTGAAGGAAGGAGAGACACATAGAGTTGGAGGACTTGCTGGTCAAGGGGTAAAGTGAATGGCCAAGGCTGATGAACAGAGCAGCAGTGCTAATAAGCCCATCTTTTAGACTCTTAACCCTCAGGGTCACCAAAAGCCAGGTTATTCTTAAAGTATCTTTTCTGAACCTTCCAACCATGAAGAGAGATGCACACACAGGGAACCAGACAGGGTTTCCTACCATACATCGCATGTGTCTGCTCATGAGCCCCGTACTGAGTTGCTGAAGACGACACGAGCGCAGGCTGGGCATGTGCTGGGGGTGCCATCATCCGGGCGTTACCCTGAATGACAGGACTATAGACATGAGGATGCTGCAGCCAAACAAAAAATGAAGAAAAAAGGGTCTACAATCACCACAGAGTGCAACGGGTAAGTCAGATGCCTCCTCTTCTCTCTCCAGGGTCCCCAGAAATCACTTGTGGCCATTTCAATGAAAGTTGTAACAGGCACAGCATCGCATACACTAAAAAGGCCTTTGGCCATAATCCAACGCCACATACAGCTGCAGCACAGCAAGCC